CTACTGAGGTTCTTAATGGGGATTAAGGAAATTGACGATCTGTCACCGAGAATCGCACGAGTCTCGAACGAGGCAAGGGACTCGTCTTTGAGGGAAAGGACCTCTGAGAAGCCTCACGCTCTTGGAACTTTTGAACTTCCATATTTTCATGAAGCAAGAACATAGCTATCAGATACTTGATTGAAAAATTGAATTTCTCAAAATATAGGGCAGGTAGAAGCTGCCCAAGGTACGGCACCAAGTATTCAGGAACAAATAGTTGAGTAGCGCTTCTCCGGCCCTTTCCCTTTCCGAGTTGTTCGCTGAGGTCATAACCTACGTGGCTCCTACTGGTGAGCCAACTGTTACGCTTTGAAGAGCTCTTTGAATATTCGCCAGGTGTCTTCTGTTCCGCTAGCTGCTCCCTGAAGTGCCATCTTTCCCTGATCTGCTCCTTGCATTTTCACAGCGTGGCTACACTTGGGGAAGGTTCTTAAACAGCATTTCTGGGTTAGTGTTGTTCTCAATACCACACGAAGTGCTCATTGCTTGTAATTCTTCCCTGGAGTATCCCAGTCTCTCCCTTCCTTCCGGAATACTCAGAAAGCTTGAAGGGTTAGGTAAGACTCCGTTGCACAAAACAGAAAGCAGAGCTGCAGCGGAGCGGTGAAAGTGGCATTGCAGGCGCAATTGCATGCTACCTTAACAGTCAGCCTTCAGGAATGACTACAACGGTAACTCGAGGCCAGGAATACCGCGTGTTAAGCCGATTTCTGAGCATCAGTGCTACCAGATCTCCTGATTCTGACTCGGTAACCTCCGTTCAAAAATACACAAAAAATCTACTAAGATTGAGAAGTGAAAGGAATGTCCGCCTACACACATACGGCCCAGGGATCAACTTTCGCTAAGGCCAAGGCTACCAGCTCATGTCTCCAAGCGGATTAGCTAGTGTGGGATACGTTTTGAAATTTTAACTTCCGGCGGTATTCTGTTCTCCTCACCACCTAGTAGCTAGACATATAATTTTCCTTAGATTCTGAGTAGGAAGAGAATAGCATGGCCAAGGTGGCATGATCAATGAGATTTATCCTCCTGCCTTCCCCGACCGCATACTGGATGAAATGGCAGTATTATTGATTACTTAACATCTCGTTCGTGGATTTTTCTGCAGGCAATCCAATCGTCTCTGCACAATCCCATAGCAAATGTACTGCTACTGTGTATTCGTGTGTTTTCAGCTGTGCATGAATTGCGGCACGGCACGAGACACGAAACGTCCTCGTTGAGTAAAAAAAGTCCTTTGAGTTTGTTTTACCAACGTGGCGCTATGTAGAAGCGCGACTTAGCACTAACCACGAGTGCTCTCCGGACAATCGTCGTTGTTCAAACAAATTTTCCGCTGTATAGAGTCGCTCGATATCAGCACCAGAAGCAAAAATAACTCGAATATCGCCTTTTGTTTCAAAACTAGATCAAAAAATTCGCTCTAAAATGAACTGGCATCAGCTGGATACAAGAAATTGAGCGCCTGCTTGGTTCGTTCCTGTTTTAGAACTCCTGAGTCGTTTGAATGTACATATAGGGAAGAACTTGTGCGATGTTGCGACCTTGCTGTACACTCATGGTAGTGCTGCATCTAGGGCATTTTTTTAGAGCGACTACGTGCTATATGACGGCAGACGTCAGAATTCTATGCATTAATAATCGGAGACGTATATTTCGGGAATTGCCTTTAATCAACTCGTTTACCATGAGAAATATGCCATAATTCGATGCCTTTCCTGCTACTTTTGGCTTGGAATATGTTTCTTTGCGTCGCCCGAGACACTGGGACGGCTAACTCCGGATCGGCTAACTCCAGGGCCAGTCGAGCCATCATTCTCTTCGGCCGCTATTTAGTACCACCCTTGTCTGGGAGGATAAGCAGGCCCATTTGCCCGTTGATGACACCCGACATATACGCCTTTAGACCAAGTCCAGTCCTGAAGTTGTAACAACAAATGGAGTGGAATTCGCGGTGCATTCATAAAAGTTTATTCGCGCTGGCAGCTTATATTTATTTGTATTTTTCTGTGCTAAATTCCCGTATTGTTGACTTAGCTGCTCGATGCAGAAACTATTTCTCTCTAATGCTCCATGCTCGAGAATTGCTCTCAGACTTTCGAACCCCCCCCTGCATTAACAATATTGCGGAAAAACGGGCACAGCGCTAAAGCTCTGGGAGAGCTGTACGCAGCGCTGAACGTAATTTCCATGGAATAATTCGGAGCATTGCGGTGGAAGGTGCTGTAGAGGCAAGTGGCCCGCTCACAAGGCAGATGCGGCACGGGCCAAATCCCGGACTACTCCCACCCAGGCACACCAATCCTTTTGCTCTACGGAGGCGATCAACTCGCTTCCGATTATGGGAAGATAAAAACACTGACTTGTACATGTGCTAGTCCCCGCAAGTTGTGTTAGGCCACATCGCATTCAATATGGTACACGTTCCGAATGAAAGTAGAATGCGTGTCGCAAATGGCTAAGTTTTTATCCTCATTTCTGTGCATAGTCTTGGTGATACTGCTCATTTGGTTCTCAGAGATGTACTTCACTTGCTTCTTTCCACACTAGGTCCTGAGTACTCTATTTCAACAACTGACTGGATGAACAGTCACGCTACAGTCAATCAGACGGTCCTGACCTCGGTAATTGTCTACAGTCCGACTAGCATATGTCCATGATTGCATAATGAAATAACGACTAGGTCTAGAGACCGCACGTCAATTATTTCTGTCCGATTTTTTTTCTGCTGGGGAGGGAGACGAATAGGAAATTCTTACGAGTGTTTAGAAAATCTAGTAATGGACGAAGAAAAATCAGGTGCTTGTTTAGGAATGTGTATTTTTCGATGCGCTGCTGGCCATTTGCTTGTAAAGTATTTATCAAATTTTTTTGGGATGGCATGCGCCACGCATTCTACTGTCGGTCGGTCAAACTGTGGCAACACTGCCGTGGTGACTTTCTGAATACAATATACTCTATACAAAGAATTGCTGCGCAGCCTATGCAGAACTCAGTGTTTTTACTCCTCCAGTCCACTCTGGTACTACCTATCGATTCCGGAGGGATAGAAGGAAAGCTTGGTTGCCTCGAAGGGGAGCCTGTCTGGGTTTTGAGTTTAGATTCCGCACCGCGCTGGTAAACTTCGTCAACTGCCACTACATACCTATGGCCTGGTGATCACCTCCGCCCCATGTATGGGATATTGTTTATTATCGAGCAGAATTTGTCTCTAACCTCTGCATGGTTCGGCGACCAAGGTTCTCAGACCAGATAAACCTTCGATCATTTCGAGACGAGAGATTGAATAGCTTTCGATTCATCTAAAAGGCAGAAGCGCTTATTTATACATCCGCTCGCTTCTATAAAGCAAGAATAGGCCAAATACGCTTCGCTTCAAAGTGACACTAGGATCCTATACTGGTGGAAAGTGCGTGGCTCACTCTAAAATTTGGTTACTCAGAAGCAGCTGGCGCACTTGGCGAGCCCTATAAATCCCTAAGACGAGTAGGATCAGTACGCCTAGCAGGACGGAATTCTGCGCCCCTGAGCAGGCGCTGCGTAGCGCCTTTTCCAAGAAAGGTGCCCTTATAAGGCCCTATCAAGCTGCAACATACCGACCCGGACGCCCACCGCGCCCGCCCGCCCACAAATGGACGACCGTACCTGATGCTCGTATTGCTTCATTTGCGAAGTAAAATATGAAGCGAAGGGATTGATATGAAGCGGCCGCGGTGCTGCATGGATATATGAGTACATACATGCAGCCGTACCGTAGCGGTTATTGGCAAGATGCCTCGGGAAACTCGTCCGAAATCGCTTTTTGAGTCATTAAGAACGAAGGCTTTTCTTCGCAGGTTTTTGACCCGTTTCACTTCGTTTTTTCGCCATTTTCCCACTATATAGCACCCTGTAGCATTTTGACCGAGTACCAAATTATCGTGCCATATGCCTTTACTCCGACGGCTTCAGCTTTCAATTCCACGTGATACTTATACTATATACTATACTTCTTCGAGAATATGGTAGGGTTGCCATGATTTTCAGCATAACTTCCCTGGTCAGAGCCATCTGTGTCAGAAGAAACGGTCAGTCTCTGCATTTAGCGTTGAGCGATGACTAATCGTTCCAGCAACTGCAAGGAATCTCCCTGATTTTCCTGTTGAGCTTGTAGCTTGCCGTTTCCTCTGATGAGTATACTTGTAGCTTGACGTTCTTGTTCCTGATAAAGTATCTTCCGTCAGTCAATTTGATTGGATTTCCATGAAGATCCAGAGTTCAGCCACTTTTTTTCGAGATTTTTCTTTTCTCCTTTTTTCCTGATTTCTTTTTATTTCTTCTTTCGATACCACATTGACTTACCTTACTTGTTTACTATTTCGTTACTTATTTTGACCTCTCTGTGAATTCTTTCGTTCTACTAGGTAAATAAATTGAAATTTCTCTTAACTACATTATCCGTTTGTCGAATCACTTACTTCTTCTCTATGTACTTCAAATCACCTACTTCTTCCTCTATGTATTTTTTCGGATTCTTGAGGTAGACAGGCTGGGCCTCGAAGAAACCAAACTCAGGGGTTTGAAATCGTTTCGGCGCAGTTCGGCCTAGGGAGAAGAGGGTCATTTTGCACTTTCGCTTCCCATTGTCGTTTCGATGGCTTTACAGGATTTCACAATTCTACTTGATGAATCGAAACGTCAATGGAAAGTAGCGAAGGTGCAAAATACCCCCTGCGCGCGTTTTTTCGACATTTGTAGGCTCCTGGACCTGCTGGTTTTTAGTATGAACCCACTAGCGTTGACGTGAACCATCATCCTAACCATCACCTTTCTCGAATTGAAAAAACTTATCTCTGGCCTGGCGCACATTCTGTAGCTTTACTTGTGATTTTATTGTGCTTTGGCAGTTTCCAGAAATCTAGAAAACAATACAAGCTGAAAATAACCAGTCGATCGATATATCGATTATTTCAGAAATGTTCCCGGAACGATGTCTGAAAGCGCAATGTTCGGTGGTGTTCCATCCGGAATGTCCAGCTGATTCGCGGCAAGTCATTCTTCCACCGCCACCTGGAGAATGTTGTGGTCGACCGGGAACTTGTCATTGCGACTTACAAGTAAATTTTGAAAAAATAATGCATGAAAAATTTGTTTCTAATTCCTTTAGAAGGCTGTGGAACTTTGATTTTCCATTTTTCCAGAAATGCGAGGCATTCGTTCCGGTTTGTGAGGAAGGCATGGAACGCGTGTTGGTCAAGGAGGGTGGAAATCAGCCCGGATCGTGTTGTGACGTGTTCGAATGCCGGAAGCGTGGTGCGTTATCGATTTATTGATCAATTTAAGGTTTTGAGAAATACTGCTGTATTGGTGGAACATAAATTAAGCTGTTATTGTTTGATAACTGCTGTTTAACGCCGCAGTGCGCGATACGAAAGTTATCACAAGAATGCTGAGTTGTGGGCAAAAGTCGGACCACGGACGGGATTCGAACCCGCATCTTCTGCTTACCGGGCAGTTGCGTTCCCTATTACGCTACCGGGGCCACGTTGAACGTGTGAGTGCTCGAAGGCAATGGCACAAATAGCCATTGAGCTGAGTGGTAATAGGGAACGCAACTGCCCGGTAAGCAGAAGATGCGGGTTCGAATCCCGTCCGTGGTCCGACTTTTGCCCACAACTCAGCATTCTTGTGATAAATTAAGAACCTGTACTGTACGGCTAACGAATGCACGTGCGCGGCATTCGCACCAGGCCCTAACTTCTTGTGCTACACTTCATATGTCGGGTCACCTAAGTGTAGGCTACTGCGTAGTTTGTACAGTCTTAATCGTTGGAGAGGCTAAGGCGTTTCTGGCGGTTGGATTTGGCGCGACGTCAGCGTATTCTCCACTAACTGTAGAAATTGACAGGCAAGCCATAATCGGTGGAGAATAGGCTGGCGCCTGGTTTACCCCCCCCCCTCCTGAAAGCGCCTCGTCGTTCATCGTCCGCAGCCGAATAGGACTGGCACAGGGTCTTCTACGTGGGTCGCGCCCATCTAACACCAACGTCTGAGCGAGTTTACTCTTTTTGATGTGAGTCTGAATGTTCGTCCCCTTTCGCGGAATTCAACTCAGCATTTCGTCAAAAGTCCCGCCCCTTTTGTATGGGTTTCTATTTTTGAACCCTTTTCAGAAGTCCAATGCGAATCGTTCCGATGTCCGACACAAGTGTTCGATGAGGACGAAGGCGTCGACTGCCCGCCCGACAGTATTCGCCCTGCCGAGCATGTACCACCTGGAATGTGCTGTCCGATTAGACCCGGGTAATGGTTCGCTCCTTGTTACTATAAGTGAAATTAAGATCTCAACACAATTTTCCGTTTCAGATGTCGTTGTCGAGCTGCTGTATGTCGACCTGCAGTCTGTGATGAGGGCAAGCGTCTCAATATCATTCGAAAGGGTACTGGAACCCCAGGGCGATGTTGCGATGAATGGACATGCGAAGATGATCCGCAGCTTCTTGTAGGTTCAAGTTATAAAGGGAACTGTATAACTTTGAGTGCAGAGCGCAGAAGTATGCTGTCAGGAATAACTGAATGGTTACGGTAGCCTCATAGTTGCGCTCTCAAGATCATAGGTTTTGAAGGCAGTTCGGCGACAGGGGGGGGGGGCATTTTGCACTTTTGCTACTTCCTATCGACGTGTCGACCCATCGACAGGCTTCTCGAGTTGACAGATCTTACCGTGATGGCTTGACGTGTTTACTCTAGCTTCGCATTTTCACCATAGTGAGACGTGAACGCGGAACTAGTGAAGCAAACGAAAGTGCCAAATGCCCCCCCGCGGTCGCCAAATTGCGCCCAGGTTCTGTATCTTGCGAGGTGAGCTTTGCAATTATGTTGTCCTGACCAGCCCTATGACCCCTCAAACCATGGAACGTGTGGTGCGCGATGAATTGGAGCGCAGCCAGCGTAGCTTTTTCTTCGCTGCCATCCTGAGCTCGTTATAATTGCTGGGAATTCCGCACTGGCTGCGCTCTACTCCACGCCTCACCCCCTATCGTTTGCAGGGATCACGATTGCAACTATGCTGAGCTAGAAAAGCAGTACTTGCTTACGGTTTATTTTGCCTATCTAAGCTGGTACTTCGTGGCCTAGGTGTTGTGGCGTATGTCCGGAAAGTGTGAAATCCGGCTTCCATTTTCACTTTGAGGGTTCTCAGAAGGGTCCGTTCACGAGCCTGCCATTTTTGGGGCCATTGCACGTCATTGTTTTGTTAATCTTTACCGAAGTTATACTCAGGAGCAAGAGAAATGTCGGCCCTTTTTGGCTTCAGTGGAAAGGAGGGGGGGGGGCAGTTTGCCATTTACCTATATCTTTTGCTTGTTCATGTTAAGTAACCCGATTCGTTTCGGTCATATCACCTGTGAACTCTTGTCAAGCTGAGCAATGTTACAAACGGTGCAGTGCAAGGGGCCAGTCGATAACAGCAGTTGACACGTTTCCAAAGATGCTCTGTACAAGCTCCGCTGAGTACCGTTTGGTGCCTCCAATAAGCCAAAACCACGCCGAAATCTTTTCTTGATTGTAGTTTTTACAAGGGCGCTATACTCCATAGTTGGCGGCACGCTCAAAACTGCTATTAAGTGGCTGTTGATATGGCACGTGTACGCCCCCTCCATCCATCCCATCCCTCCCTGCTCGATAGCAGAATTCTGGGAGAAATATGGTACTAGGAGGAACTGTTGGGGCGTGGCTGTGAGTTGTCGGGGAGGAGTCGTAGCGGGACCATCTTCATTTCAGGGCGGTATGGGTAACTGGCGTCGTTGTTCTAGACATCCTCATGATGTCCACTGTTGTGAAAACTTATATTGCATTGGTTTCAGTCAAAATCGTGTATACGCGATGGGAAGACGTATTCGGATGGGCAAGAATGGCACACTTCTTCATGTGAAGTTTGTCGATGTAAGAAAGGAGTCGCCGTGTGTAGCAAAATGACATGTCCCAAAACACCTGGTGAGTTTTCGTGTTTCCGAGGGTTTCCCACTCTATAAGCATTGTTAGGCAGAGTGGGTAAGCGGCTGCGCTTTCGTATCCACGTTGCATCAAGTCGTCTGCCTCCTCTCACTGAAAAAGTGCGAAATGAGTGCTCTTTTCTTGAACGATTTTCCTCACGAAATATGCACGGAAGCACTCCGAAGCTGTTCCGAACACTATCTCAGTGAGAGTGTGCAGACGAGCATGCACAATGAACACAGCATATTCGTCCGCCGCATACTCCACCTCAGTACTTTTGTTTTCATTTGTCTTTTCGTACTTGCCTGCCGCATTTCTGGGCGCTAACGTATATCTCTTTCTCAAGACTCACAGGTGTGGGGCACAGACGACTAGAGTCGCCGTATGATAGCCTCGCAGAAAAGACAATTCCCCACTAACGCTCCAAAAAACAAACCTAAGCCTTGGTTAGCGTAGGGTTAGTTTTTTTCTACTTCTAATTAGTGAACGGCATACGGCGGCGCTGGCAAATGATCCCAACGTACCTCATCCGCTACGTTAGCTCCCATTTCTGATATAATTATGTGCCTGTGGTGAAAGCAGCTGGAGCGC